TCCCGGTTTCAGTGGCAGCGTGAGTCCCTCAGCGTTGAAACGATGCGGCTCGGACTGTCCGGAGGCAAAGAAAAAAGTGCAGTTCTCTCCTTGGTTTTGCCTGGAGATAGGGTATTTGTAACCATCGTATTCGCCAGGGTTCCCCAGAAAAATGACAATTTGCTGGGTATACTCACGTAATCTCACGTATATTCTATTTCAGCCACACCCATTTGAATCAGAATGGTTTAACTGGTTTGAAAGTGAACACCTACTCAATTGACCTTATTTGCAGCCTCGCTAAATACATTGGCATTGATGATGTTTTTCAGCGCTTGATTGTCGTTCCAGCGAACCCTGTGTTGAGTGTCGCCTTCTCGAAGAATCGTGTGCTGCAGTTTTGTCAATGTTTGCAGTTGTTTTTGATGATATTTGGGGAAGATTCGCGCTCAGAGAAATGAAGCAAACACACACACACATAAACATATAATATGTATCTTACAAATTTTGTGTGTATCTATATATATACATATTATATATATATATACATATAGTAAAGGAAATTTGATTGTTGCCCACGATTCCCATGACCACTGTTGAGCGAATTTGGAATCCATGTGGAGTTCCATTGATGAAAAGCCGCTCGTCGGATCAAATGACTATGATAATTTTGTTTTTTCATGACATGCAGAAATTGGTTGCGCAAAGCAGATCAATGAGATTCCTCCCTCAGCGATTCTCAGTTCAAGACAGCCAAGTCGCCCCATTGACCACTGATTGGTTCGGTATGAAGTCCTCGGCAATGAGTGTCTTCTCTATCGCAGTTACGTTGACGGCTGTCCTGATGGGCACTTTGCAAGGCTGCAGCAGCGAAGAGGGCGGCGCCGTCGCCTCCGGGTGCAGCAGTTCGATCGTAGATTCCTGCATTAGTGCCTTCAACACCACTGCTGCCATGGCAGGAGATTGCAGTGAAATCACCACTTTCCTCACATGTTTTGCCGGGTGCTGTGATTACGACATGGTCGCCAACCCTCCGACAGTCACTACGCTTGATGGGGTGCAGCCATATCTGTCAGTTGGTTCTACTGCTATCAATTACTGGGCCGGTGCGAGTACAGAAAACAGCTGCGGCAGCACTGTTTCGTGTACTACCACCACTGTCGTGACCACTGTGACGATGACCGCCACGACCACTGCCACGACGATCGCCTGAGCTTGAGATGGCCTGAGGACTTGATATGCTTGAGCAACAGCCTTGTGGTACTAACCATGTTTTTGTTCGCAACAAAGGTTTATATATATATATTATTATACAGTATACTTGGTTTATTGTGAAGCGAGTTTGGTTTGGTTCTTTTGTTTGTTGCTCATGCACGGGCAAGTTATTGCCGGCACAACGCCTCAAGGCCGGACTTTTAAAAGCTGCTTTGTTAGGGAGGCACGTTCGATCATGGAGTCAAAAGGAGCTCCATGACTCCAGTGTGAATCTAGGTGTTTTTCTTTGATGATTTTCATGGGCAAACAGTTTTGTTGTCAACACGGCCTGCCATTTTAAGTAAGACACTTCGAATCAAATCAAAATAAAACCCTTAAACAATTTTAATGACATTTTAAAATAAGTTCCAGTAGAACTCCGGAATGATTTCCAAGACAATTCTACAGCAATTCCAAGACAATTCCACACAAAATTCCAGTAGTTAACAACATAGAATTAAAGTCCGCAGAATTTCAGTATAAAATCAAGGACCTTACCCAGACAATTCAGGCAAGATGCCCTCTTGAGGTGGTCTGGACTGGTCTGCATGGCATTGTTTTGTGTTTTTTTTTCTTCGCGGGATTTCGCGGGCTGTTTATCGGTTTGGTTACATTCCAACAAGATATTTTGTCAGGTCATTTTTGTCCCACAAGAATTCAAGCGCAGTGCTATGCTAAGGAAGCAGCACGGTATGGGGCCGCTTGTACAACGAATTCGGGCTTCGCTTGGGGACCATGCTCCACATCTCCTTGTACTGGTGATGTTTGTGTAAAGGAAAGCATGAGTCCAAGCTTTTGCCGATGCATCCCGTCAGGCAAAAGCGAGGTGACAAAAAAGAGCGAATGGTTTGAAAGTGAGCGAATTCTAATCTTTTGCCGTATTCTTTCCGAGAAAAATAATGACATTTTTTGGGTTGTTTTCGGCTCTTAATTTCAGCTCCAGTATCATGTGGTTGCTTTTGATCCCAGCTCAAGGAGCTGAGGGCATTCGATTAACCACGCTGAGGTTAAACCGTCAAGGAGCTGAAGACCTCTATGTGATGGAGTTTTCCTGGCAGGTTGTTGCGGAAATGCTGTGCTTTTCAAAGTGAGAAAGTATATGAAAGTATATACTTATTTGTGCAAAAACACTAGAGTCTACTGGAAATGGTTCATTTCTACAGTTAGTGTTCGAAATTTGATTGAACACCATGTATAATCTTCATGATGTGAAATCATACCGTTTCAACATGTTTCAACCATACAGCATACATTTCCTTTACATGTT